AGAGAGAGAGAGAGATTGCGAAGAATCAAGGCGGAGGTGAGACCAACAAAGCAGAGATAGTGAAGGGGGGAGAGAGAGAGAGAGGGCATGGGGGGGTATCAGAAATGCCGACATCACAGAGAGAGAGAGAGAGAGCAAGAGAGAGACACAGAGTGAGAGAGAGAGAGAGATTGCAAAGATTCAAGGCGTGGAGGTGGAGGGGCAGGAGGAGGCAGCACCGGAACCAAGAATATACCCTGTGTGCCACTTGTACACTTTGTCTGTCATCTTCCTTCCTGTCAGCGCCACGTGTTGTGCATTCACAACGACGCACACATCTCCGTCATCTTTGTTGGGTGTGTAGGTAGGCTTATCCTTGCCCATCAACACAACTGCAATCTGGGTTGCTATACGACCCAACACCTGCAGAACAGATTCAAAACCACATGAAAATATCAAAAGAAAAAAAAAGAAAAAAAAGAAAGAGAGTAAGGTAGTGAGGAGAAGAGGAGGGGTAGGCGGTGGGGGTCAGAGGAGGGGGAAAAGAGAGGGAAGGAGGTACAGAGCAGCAGCATTGTTCACAACAGTTAACAAAATATAATCATAAATCTTCGGTTGTAACTGAATGTGTAGTAAATTCGTAGATGTTGTTGCTTTCTTGTCAGAGGGAGAAGAGAGACGGGGACATGGATGGCACCTCCTGTGAGAGGTGGCAGTGGCAATTCTTTTTTTTTTTTTTTCATTTTTTCAAATGAACATGGCAATTCTTACTATATACATGGCTTTGTATTCATTTATTAAATTATTAATATATATTTTTTATATTTTCAGTTATGGGAAAATTTGTAGGATGCCCTTGAAGGATGCAGTATTTTTTACCGGTCAAATTTGCCAAATATCCCTCCTGTCAATTGCCCTCGGCACCTTTACCATATGCCCCCCGGCTCCTTTACCATAAAGGTGCCCATCGCCACCGGTCAAATTTGCCAAATACCCCTCCTGTCAATTGAACGGTCAGATTTTCCAGATAGCCGAGCACTTTTTTGGCAGTTGGTCCCTCGGTGACAAATTTTCTATGTACCGCTGCTGGTACCGGGCATGTTTTCTGGTTGCCCCTCCGACTGAGACCATTCCCTGGGCTGAGGAGGTGCCCATACAGGGTCAAAATGGAAATGCCTCCCCCCTCCCCCTGTGCCTCCCCTCTCCCAAGCCTCTCTCTCTCTCTCTCTCTCTCTCTCTCTCTCTCTCTCTCTCTCTGTGCTTTGTTGGTCTCACCTCTGCCTTGATTCTTTGCAATCTGTCTGTCTGTCTGTCTGTCTGTCTGTTCTCTCTCTCTCTCTCTCTCTCTCTCTCTCTCTCTCTCTCTCTCTCTACAGTCACCATGCAGGTACTTTTTTTTCCCTCTTATTTCCCTTTTTCCCCTTCGCTTTTTTCCTTTTACC